CTGGCGATGCTGTCACAGCACTGCCAATGATGCTTGCGAGAGCTCTCCAGGCATACGTGGCACAAACCATGCCCGTTCCTGCGTGCAGCCATTCATCCTGCTGTGCCTGCTGGACGCGGCGCGTGGGCTGGAGTACCTGCACAGCTGCAACATCATGCACGGCGACCTCAAGCCGCAGAATGTGCTGCTGAAGACAGCAGGCAATGATCGCCGGGGGTTTGTGTGCAAGCTCGGCGACTTTGGCCTAAGCCGCATGCTGCCAGAGACCCAGACACATGTGAACACGGGCTCCTATGGCACCGTGACGCATGCCTCGCCTGAGCTGCTGACGGATGGCCGCTTGACCAAGGCCAGCGATGTGTTTGCCTTTGGCATTCTTCTGTGGGAACTTGTCACCGGGCTGCGGCTTTTCCCAGACATGCACCACATGCAGGTGAGGAACCGCCATGGGGGCTGGGGTTCCTGCAGGCTGCCTGCACTGATTCTTGCAAGAGGCTCAGTGCAGTGCGTGCACACTGCGAGGGCCAGGCCTACCTTTGGCAGGAATGCTCGCTCCTATGCCGTGTCCTGCTGCATACTACGTGTGCTCACCGCTGCCTTGCCTTCTTGCCTGGTGCCTGCTGCAGATCATCGTCCAGGTGACGCAGAAGGGCTACCGCCCGCCCATCCCTGCCGACTTCCCGCCACCGCTGGCAGACCTTGTGCGGCGGTGCTGGGCCGAGGACCCCCGCGCCAGGTGTGTTCACCTCACCGACCTTCTGTTTTTTCAGGTCCCACTGAACTTTGCCCTTGGTGTTTGGAGTGTTGCACGTGCTGCTGACGCACGCTGAACTTGATGTGACTTGCAGGCCCAGTGCAGGGGCGATCGTGCAGGAGCTTATAGATTTCATGGCCACCTTCAGCTCCACTGCTGGTTGGGCTGGCATTACTCGTTTGGGCAATGGTGTTGCCGCTTAAAACATGACGGAGCCTTGCAGCTGGCCCTCACAGCGACGACTCGTGCCATGCAACCACTGCCATGAGAGTGCCGTGTTTCCAGAATTTGCCAATCATCGCCATCCGTCCTCGCCATCATCTCCCATATTGTTCACACGATTCACCTAGAATTTGCCAATCATCACCTCACTCGACTATCAAACGCTTCTTTTTGTACCTCCACATTCTACACACTTCCATGTATCTTTCGCATTTTTTTTCCTGTACTCCCATTGATCAGCACTGACCCTTCCAGAGAGTGTAAGCTAAAACACAGATTTAGAATGAATCCATGCCCAGACAAGTGGGAACAATTTAACAGGACACATGCCCGCCTGGCGGCACTGTCCACTGGAGTGGCACTGGGGCCCTGACCCTCTTGGCGTTACTGCTATAAAATTGCTGCTGCAACCATTTTGCGGCGGTGGCATCTGTGAGCACCCCAGAGCAGCTGTTGGACGGGTGCGACATGCGACACGGCGGTGGAGCTGCAGCAGGGTGGCCCTCACCCAGGCAGCCGCAGCAAAAGTTGTAGCTCGACACCTGCCCTTGGCTATCGCAAGCAACCACCTCTTGGCTGTAGCAAGCAAACAACACGCTGACGCTGCGGGCAGGCGAGCGCTGGCCGGCGCGCTTCCATCTGCCGCCAGCCCTTAAAACATGCGATGCATGCCTCGCTTGCTGTCCAGGCTGTCCCTCAGCAGGCCCTGCCGCTCCCCTTCTGTGGACGGTTCCATTTGGAGGAGCATTAATGCTTCGTTTTCTTCCTGATTCTGCCAAAGCAGGAGGAGCTGCAGGTGGATACAACTGAATGCACCGCCGGCTAACGGCAGTGCACCAGTTCAGCAGCGGTAGGTCAGTGGCCACCGCCGCCAAACAAGTATCTTGCAAACAGCGCGTGCACTGCTGCCTCCCACACACAGAGTCATGCACAATTTTGATGCACAGGCTTAGTGTGGGCTCCGCCTCCAGGATGGGGTACTGTCCAGCTGGCAATGCCGTGCTGCCGTTCGGCGAACATGAACCGAACTCTGGAGCTCCACCGCAAGTTGTGCTGCCCGATGCCGGGACAAGCGCAACCCGTCCCCAGGGCCCTGCTTCTGGCCCTGCTCCTGCTTGCCGGCCTCGGTCATGCGGCAGTGGTGCCGGTGAGCACAGCAGAGGAATTCCTGGCGGCCCTGGCCTCTGCCGCTTCCCCCGATGCGCCCAGCGACACGGTGGTGGAGCTTCAGACAGACGTAGCGCTCGGGGCTGAGGCCGCGGAGGCAAGCTACACCCTGCCCTTTGTCATACCGGGCAACCGCACGCTGACCTTTGAAGGAGGTGGGTGCGGCGCACACGCCGCTGGGCGCGGCCAACCCGCGCGTCCCGGCCGCCGTCCGCTGCAGCTGCAAGTCGTTTCTTGTTTGCGCGTAACATTTGTGTGCCGCTTGGCCCGGGTGAATGCAGCTGATGGTGAGATGAAGAGGCTGGATCTGGGGCAGATAACAAAGCTGCTCGAGTTTGAGGCCGACACCAAGCTCACCATCAACGGCCTCAACATCAGCGGTGTGGCCCCGCTGCCCTCCATGTTCCTGCTGGAAGGCGACCGCTGCCATGCTTCTGTATGATTGTGTATGATTGCTGACACGCGGCTGCGGTGTGCGTGTGGTGCAGGCATGGAGGATCCCCAGCTGGGGTCCTGGCCTGATGATGTGGACAGCGCGACGGTGTCACAGACCATGCCATTTTGGCCAACTGTCGTCGCAGACCCTGGCTACACGGTGCGGGGATAGGCTGCTCGTCACATGTGCTGCCTGCTTCTGGGCTATAGCTCCCCTGCCAGGGTGCAGCCACCTGGGATGTGGTCGCAACCCTAGAGCGCAGCCTCCCTCTTGGGCCCTCCACGCTCGTTGCTCATCTGCTGGCCCGCCTGCCCGTCTGCTGGCCATCCCGCCTGCCTGCCCACAGTCCGAAATTCACGACTCCTACGTGACGCTGCACCCCACCGACCTCTGCAACGCCGACATCGGCGCGGCCCAGTTTGACGGCTTGCGGCAGCTGGCTGAGAGCTCAGGCAGCAACGCCACTGACCT